TTGACTCTATGACTTTATGTACTTGACTCTATGACTTTACATAGCGCTAAACGCTTGGCAAATGATGCCCACTCGTCTTCTAGTTTTGTTGGGCGGGGGTTGGCGGAGGTTGTTGCAAATGCACGGAACGGAGAAGGTCTGCCTTGACCGTGCGGGAATTTGGTGAGCAGGATACCCGACGAGGATACACGCATAGCTGCAGAGGATATGCTTTTGACGATGAGCAAACATGTCGGCAGCAGCAACGCCCACGTCCTAGAATGGTCGAAGAGAGATCACAAATACATATAGGTGACTAGCAAGCTGCGAATTGTGCAGAAAGGCTCCTCCTCGTCGGCGCGGGAAGCTATGCGGCTACGAGGATGCCCGGGGGCATTAAAATTGAGCAGCGGATGTGGCTCTCGTTCGTGCTGTCGAATGGCACAACACTGAGAGTGCCGATTTGAGACTGGATTTCCGGACTGCAGGACAGTTTCTGGAATTTGGGAGTTGAGCACGGCAGGCGGGTCAACGTACCGGATTTGCCACTTGTAGCCTGCGGCTCTGCGGTGCCAAGAGCTTTGATGATGTTACGGGCCACGGCTGAAAGGCATGTGAAGGTGTTGGTGCGAGTACTCCGGTTGCGACCTTGCGAGCCCGGCCGCTCTGCTGAACCGCTTTGCAGGTGCCAACTCACTGTCCTTCTTGCAGCCCGCTCGGGAAATCGAAGGGATCGGCCGCCCGAAAGCGACGAAGCTTGGCGCGCAGCGAGCGGCAGATGGGAACCCGATGGAACTCGTGTGGGGAGCCACTGCCTCTGAGGCCAGCGCTGCGAGGCCAGCGGTCCCGAGTGGGTGCTGGAGAACAGGACCGATAGTCACATGGCACCACTGAAGTCTGCAAGTTTGCATGACGAGGACACTACCGCAGTCCTCGAGAAAGCCATGGAAGAAAAGAAGAATGGCAGCGCCGGCTTGAATCCCAACTGCTCGCGCGGTCATGCAGCTCTGCAGCCAGGGCACTCTGAGAAAGAGCACGAGCCGCATGAGCCCCTGCCAGATGATGTTGTGGAGCGACAGGCGCTGGGTTTTTGCATGGCTTCGCATCTCTGAGCACTGGCTGTCCGGCTTCCGGCTTGAGGTGGTGCCGAAGTCCTTGGAGTTTGATGCCGAGCCCTCTGCGCCATCCGCTGCGCCGAGCTGGCTGCCGGTTGTCGCGTCGCTTCTGCTGGGCTTGGCGCTGGGCCTGGCAGCGCGGAGCCCTGGCAACGGCCCTCCCATGGCCGTGGCTGGGACCGCGTTTCGACGCAGAGAGGCAGAGCGTTTTCTCTTCTCTTGGGTCGTGCGAAGGTGGTGGCACCAGCCAGTTCCCAGTCTGATGCCGTGGTCGAGCAGAAGCCACAATCGACAACTAGCAAGGTCCTTAATCAGGCCGCGCCCCAAGAGAGAGAGAGACAGAAGGTGTGAGGATAGCGAAGGTGAGCATTTCACCTCGTTTGCCTTTGCATCAGTTGGAGACCGTCGCGGAGCGGAGGATTCCGACAGTAGTCAAGGAGGCCGGAGTTGACCTGTGAGATTTTTCCTGGCCTGACATGATTTCCATCGCAGGCCCAAAGCGTGGCCGAGAGAGCTCTGCACTTAGCTTTTCGGCTGTGGTGGACTCGAGTTTTCGCGAATGCGGCGAGGTAAAGACCTCGGTGGCCATCATCAACGAGGCATTGAACAACTAGCCGACGAAAAGTTACAACGCAATCCCTTTTGTCCTACCTCGTGAGCCAAAGCAGCATGCCTCGACCCCCTCATGCGACCGGAGGCCTCAGGTTGCACGGACAAAGAGCGGGTACAAATCAGTGCTGGCTGCGACTTAGGTGTGCTGGTATTCACCCGGGCCCGAGAAAGAACCAAATCGGATCCGGCATAAAATCGGAGCTGCTGGACCTAGTGTCACTACCAGCATGTCATGCTGCAGAGTTAAGATTCTTTGGCTAGGTAGGTCTTGATCTTTACCGAGCAAAATCGAAAGACTCTTCGTTGGTTGGGATGGTGCGTGGACAACTCGGGCTTTTGTAGTCGGACTCTGCAAGAAGCCTCGCGAGGGAATCCAGGGTCGGGTCTCTTTCCATCTCGTTCCTGCATCCTGGCCTGCGAAGACGGGTGCTTTCCTGTGCTAGGCCGAGTCCAGGCAGGACCAGCAGATGAGATACGACGACAAGCTCGCTACACGATGGCAGAAAGTAGGTGCGATGTGTTTGGAAGAGATGTTTCAACCGTGCACACGATCACGATCATGGCACGTCAAGAAAAGTGGACGATGAGAGGTGAGAGATGGTGAGAGTCGTGTATCAGAGCTCCGACTCTGAGGCACAGATGTACACCGGCCTCATGGACTCCGCCCGTCAAGCTGGTGCAAAGCTTCAGGACGTCGTGCAAAAAGTTGTCCGAGTCTTACTCTACCGGTGATAACGAACAAGTACATGTGGGCAAGGACGAAGTATGAAAGGCGACAGTCGCAGCAACACCTCACCGTCACCCAACAACAAATCAGCAGCAACAAGAACACCGCAGAGAGTCATCTCAATGAACGGCCAGACGCCACATTGCTGCCAACAGGAATGTTACGCAGAAATCGCCGGCACGTCACCACCAGGAGGAGCTGCAATCTATTGCAGTATCCACTTGCCAAACAACGACAATGCCCCAAACCCGAAGCCGCTGATGCTGTTGCCGCTGCTGCTGCTGCTGCTGCTGCTGCTGCTGCTGAGGCGGTCCTGTCATGGGCGATGGTAGTTGTGGTGAGAGCAAGTAGTGATACTGACGCTGTGACAGATGATAGTTCAAATCAGCGATATGCGTCTTGACTCACGAGCTTGCTGGCTTAGGCTCCCACGGAAACTGGGGCTTCAAGTCGCGTCTCGCCTTCTGTGGTGAAGAAGATCCGCGACATAGGTGCGCGTTGGCAGCGGGGGAAGCTGAAGTTTGCTTGCACCTGGCTTTGCCTGGGAAAATAGAGTCCTTGCCGGATTATCGGCCACAGGTGACATCTTGGACGAAGCGCAAGCAGATGTCTACAAGGAGGAGTGGCTGGCACTCAAGGCCGGCCATCTCGTCTGCAGTCCGTCGCAACGCAAAGTTTAAGATGCCTGCGACAGGTCACCCCGTCTCTGCTGCGCGCATACCTGCCGTTGATGATGCTTGGCTTTGGCGACAGCATGCTCTTGTGCATCTCCGGTTTTGGTACGGACGATTGTGGATTTGAAGTTCCAGCCAAGGCAAAGCTATCCTCTAGATGCCTTCAACGACAACACCGGCGACAAGTATGTTAATGTGACTCGCATGCGAGGGGCTGCACAGTCTGCACATATCTATGGCAGCTCACAGCGGCATTTTTTCAAACTCTGTGGAGCCGAGTGTTAAGAAAAGTACCAACTGGAGCTGGGAGTGCAGTTCCCCACTCTGGGGCTTGCACGTATGCTCAAATTGCTGCACCTGGTCATGATGTTGTGAGGGAAACGCCGTCAGTCGCAAAGCATGCCAGATGGCCTCTTCTGTGATTTTGCCTTTGCTAAGGCAGCCACCCGTGAGAGCTTGTACTTCTACCAGATGCAGTTCCGGGTTGGTATTGATCGACTTGAGAAGGCCTTCGGGTGGAAGGGCTGTGCTGCAGGGATGAGCAGAGCCCTGCAACAAGTTCGCTACTGAGGCTGTTGCGAACCACAAGGTTCGGGAGGTCGAGGAGGCACTGCCGAGGGGTCTTGGGAGCTTCGTCAGCCATGCCACAACCGAAGTCTAGATTTGTGTGCGGGTGACAGCCATCTGCAATTTGATCGGGCATTCCATGTTTCTGTAAACTGCTTCCAGGCATTCGCCAAGACCTCACTGTCCTATGACAGATACCTGAAGGCTGGTGACCTCTACTCAGGTGCAGCGGGAAGCCTGTTTTATCCTGGTGTGCCATGCAGCCGACATCACCAGCGCTGTCGGTCCGACAGGCTACGACCCTGTGACATCGACGACGGTCTTCTTCCAGAATGTCAGTGACAGCCAGTTGCAGTACACTCCTGTTGCTTTGTCGCAGCCGCAGATTCGGGACGAGGTGCCAAGCTTCAGGGCCTTAGCAGCTAGCAGGCGCTGTGCTAGCGGCCGTCTCCGCCTTGTGGGTTTCGGGCCTCGAGTCTAGAGTCAAGAGATGTTAGGACAGTTACCATGACCGCTTCCCAGCTGGTTGAACTTCTGGAACATCACATGCGAAATTGACTGGAGCCTAACTTAACGGCACATCAGAGACCCGAGCATGACTGCAGTTCTCATGCAGCAGCCGGCAGAAAGTTGGAGTTGTCGGTTCGAGCTAAGGCAGGATAGGCACCAAGCTCCTTCGATGAAGCGCGGCTTTGAAGTTCTGTTCAATCAGTGCAGGTGCTGGTACTTCAAGGTCCCGACAAGGGCAAGGCCTGGAGTGCCTGGAAATTGCAGTTTTCTGGCAGAAGACGTTGAGTGCACGGGAACAGGCTTCGTCGAACTTAGAGCAATCCATGCAGGTGGGACGCATCATCTGGCTTGGCCGAGAGAATGAGAAGGACCTGGACAGCAAGGCCAGTTCTGGTTCTGGTTGTGCACCTTGCTCGAAGTCTGTGTGGCATGCCGGATGCATTGGCAGATTCATGATGCTTCATGCCTCCTTCACAGGTGCTGACCGCAGTGGTGAAGCTGGAGCCCAACCCCGCAGCTGTCCTGCACGGAGGAAGACTGTCGTCGCGCTCACTGCTGTGCATGAGCACGGCCCCCCCCCCACAACATGCACGTCTTCCAAGAAAAGCTTGACTCCTGCTTACAGCAGAAATTGATTTGTCCAGCAGATCCATGCAGCCATGAGTTGCACTTTGAACGTTACGTGTCCTGCCAGTGCAAAGGTACTGGGGCAGTCTCGAAGTGGCGGCGTGCCTCGCTCGAAATACGATTCCGAGCTGCTGCAGTCAAGCCTTTGACAGTGTCACAGTATAGACACCTGACACATGCACTGTATGAAGTATAACAGTATAGTTGTTGAAGCAGTGGTGTTACATTCTCTCTCCCCGGAACGATGCCGAGCGAAGCCAAACCTAGTCCCTTGCCAGAACCTGTCAGCACTAGCTGTGGTCTTATCTGCCCCTGAACCTTAAATGGAAAGACAGCCTCTCAATATCTCTGGATGCCAGATCCTGCACCTCCGTCAGCCGCTTTGCGCACAGTCTGAGGTACGAGAAGTTAAGGCCTACCCTTATTCGTGGCTGGTGATGACCCGTGGCAGCAACGAGAGCTACATCCAGGACTTGGTGCTGGCGACGGCAGTGCCTCGGGCAATGTAGCGGTGTAGGCTTGTGGAAGGTGCAGAGAATCGAATTGCCAGCAATTACTAAGTGCATTCCGCTAGACACATCATACGCAGGACAGTATGGGTCCCAGTCTAGTGTTGAAATGCTTCTGAGTTGATGCGATTTTCTCCTGGATCTTCAAGCATGCGCTTTGCGATGGATCCAAAACACAGATGTCCAGATCTGAGTTCGATGGCCTCTGAGGCGGCGACGGTGTCCTGCGCGGTGACATATCCGCTGGAGACAATCAAGGCATGCGTGCCGCCACAACTCTTTTCGGGGGCCCATTGTGCAACACCAGCTGCTAAGCACTCTCTGCGGGTGCATCAGTCTTCGCCTTTCTCTTTTTGTTGCAGCTTGCAAGTGTTAGCACTTGCATGAATGTACGCACATGTATGCAAAATACTGTAGGAACGTGTAGTACGTAATCAGTTCCCCTATTCAGAACTGGCCACGTAAACTTACCCATAGTGTAGGCCCCTGATAACTAGACCCCGGTCTTCAGGAATCACAATCGCAAGATCCAAACCATGAGTAATGTGGCTTGACATTAGTGTTTGGCCGGAAAATTTGATCCAAATCGTAGGCTACAGCCAATCGCATCCAGTATCTGCCTCGTTGTGTGGAAGGGCTTGGAAGGTTTTGTTGGGCCTGTATCATGTTTGCGAGTTGTGGGTCAGGGGTCGGAAGTCTTGGGGCAGCAACGTGTAAAACGCATAGGGCCCAGCCTTGGAACGGTGGATAAAGAGTTGCCGATGACTCCGAGACAATGCATACGACCGTCCTGAAATCGATCTGTCAATCAACCAATCAATATGTCAATCAATCAAAACATGTCTTATTTATGAGACTCTTTCCCTCTCTCTCTCTCTCTCTTTATCTCTCTCTCTCTCTCTCTCTCTCTCTCTCTCTCTCTCGCTCTCTATCCGCCGTATATACAACTAGTACATGTTGTGCATACCTCTTGGTTTTGTAAGTTGAGTTTCACATGACTCTAGACTCTACGTGATCCATAGTGCCTCATATTCTGCAGGCGTAGATCAGATCCCAAACCGAAGAACCATTCCAGGAGCACCCCTCAGGCTCCCAAGACCACCCCACGGGTCCAAATGGCGCGCTGGCGCTGCCGAACAAGCTTGGGCCTGCGTCGCAACTACGGCTCGCACCCGAACATGCATGCGGGAAGGTGGGGGGGAGCACGGTTTTTTGGAGGCAGAAACCTCTCAGAAGTGGCCTGGCTCATTGAAGGACATTGAGCACGGGACTGTGGCGGGATCATGATTTTCACCCAAAATAAGTATTCACGACACTGTGGCGCGAGCTTCATCAAGTTGCCAAATTTGAGAGTCTTGGATTTTGCAACGAAATTGGCCGAGCGTGGAGGCTTTCAGAAGGCCAAGTTCAGGACCACCAATTCGGAAAACGTTGCGGTCCTATTCGGAAAGCAGATTCAGAAAGCGCCGAGGACCGATTCAGAAAGCAAGCCTCAGTCGTGCTGACGCCACCCACAACCCCCCCCCCCCCATTTTCCGGGGCTTGCCCACCAATGTTTGCTTTTTGGATTTGGGGTCTGCCAGCTTTTAGGGCTCAGGGTTTGCCATCCGCGATTTTTTTTGGGATTTGGGGTTTGCCAGCCAATATCTTCTTCTTTTAAGATTTACCAAACATGATCTTATTTTTCGGGTTTGGGGTTTCGAATCTGTTTTCCGAGATCACCTCTGATTTTTGGCCAATCTCCGCCCACGTTGTCCTGCTTGTCTTCTTTGTTTTCCGAATTTGTTACCCTGGATTTCCCTTGTTTTCCAATTCGGGCCTCACTGTGTTCGAATTTGTTTTCTGCATCCTTCCGCAGCGCCTGGGCCTCAGCCAGTTGCCAGACTGCTTCTGCAGTCTCTTTGCATAGTATACGTGCTGTCAAACCGCATGAAGAACTGTCGATAAGTATACCTATGTACGTGTGCATATTCAGATATTATAAATATTATATAGGTAGGTATATTAATATGCGTATGTGCATGTTGATATATATAGATTCAGCGTAGGGTACAAAGGTTCTATTGCGAATGTACAGACGCATCGTGATATAGCAATATATGTATATATATATATGCCTTCACACAAAACCTGTGCAGTATGGATCTATTGGCATGTTCTACTCTTCGTCGTACGATAATGCGTTCATATCATGCTAAATCAAATGGTACATTGTAATGTGATGCGAAAATAACATAACCGACTACATACTTAAATCTATATGTCTCTGTATGTATATAACTGTGTATGTGTAGATTGTAACCAAATAGTTGAAGTTACTTCTTGTACATACCCGTATCTTATGTACATATTATGTCATGCTGGTCAAAAACTGTAATTGCTGCTATTATTGTTAGTTCTCTCGTGCTAGTGATTATCATTTTCGGCATGTTTGCATACGTACATACATACATACATACATACATACATGCATACATACAGACATACATATGTGCATACATGCTTATATATATATATGTATATATGTATATATGTATATATGTATATATGTATATATGTATATATGTATATATGTATATATGTATATATGTATATATGTATATATGTATAGATCCTATATATGCAAGTACATAGCTAAGAATTCTGCTATACATGTTATACACTATGACATATACATAACATACTTAAGTAACTTGAGTATCCGATGCATCACGAACGATTTAGAACTTTTTGATGTCAGACGATGTCAGGATCTCTAATGGGTCACATCCTCGCGTCAGATTCCCATTTTCTCCGCAATACCCTGGAGTCTGAATTTCCGCGACCCTGGGCCCGTGGTACCGCTCTCTTTGTGTTTGCCAGCGGTCAGCAGCCGGGCTGCTGAGGTTGATGCTGGGTCAGGGCCTTTCCAACAGCTGGTATTCTGTCAACGGAAAAGAGCCACAAAGAAAGCGCCTTATTTCGGATGCTGGTATTCTGGTCAAAAGCAGCTGACGGGCAAGAACCATTTAAAAGAAGCATCTGAGCTCAGAGGCTGGCCAGACAGAAGAGAACTCGCAGAAACTGGGTTCGAGCTTTGGAGCCCGCGACCACAAGCCCCGAACCCTTTGACCCTAAACACGAGGTAGTAGCAAGCTGGGCTGGGCAGGCCCGAGCGCAGTCGAATCTTCCGCCTTTTCCGCCGGAGGGCCCCCAGGCCGGTCCAGCGTTTGCCACTGATGGACACTGCATTTCTTGTTGTACGGGGTTGTGGACTCTTGCAGAGACAGTCGTCTCCAGAATCCATGTCAGATGCGCAAGTTTTGTAGGTCTTGTGCAAGGCATTCGGCATGCATCCATCCAGTGGCACAGGTTCTGTTCAAAGGGATCGAGCTGAACGTGCTTCGGGAGGCCTGTGGGTGAACACGCGCTATGTCGAAGGCATGTTGCGAATCAATCGGCTATGCAGCGGAATACATAACTCGGAGGTCATTGACTCTTCCGTCGCTTGTTGTAGCTTCGTTCTTTAGCCGACATTTTTCGGGACCCTGAGCTGGATAGTATCGAATCAGTGGCGGGACTCAGGCACCCAATGCCGGTTTCTTGATGGCGGGCTTCAACTACTTCACTCGATGGGCAGCAGCTCGACAGCAGCGAAGCTTCCGCAATGCAGGACAGGCCTAGGCTTGCCTAAATGCTTGAACTCATCTGACTGCGCGTGTTTGTCTCAAGCAGTTTTCCGAGAACGTTACTTCCGACCTGGATCCTAGGTGGGTCTTCCTTTCGTGAATGGAAATGATCCTAACCTCAAGTTTATGCTGATGATCCCTTCAGGCTGGGCCTAGAGAGTCTGACCCATGTGCTTTCCAGTCTTCAGCCTTTGCCATCACTCGGTAGAGTGTGTATGGCAGAGGAGTTGTGGCAATGTGCACGGGCGCATTTGCCAAGACACCGGTCATTGACATCAGCAAGCAGGCCCTGCATACACACGGAAGCACCAGAGGGTCAGGCGGGTTGATCCATGCAAGTCTCTGAAGGTGCAAGCCGGGCTTGCCAAGGATGCCGGGGAAGCTGTTCAGCTCCTTTGCAATTCAGTGCTCGCTGAAACGACAGTCGCGAATCTTCGAGCTGCTACTTCGCTGTCCAGTCTGAGGAACGTCTTCTTCAAGCCGACACCAGCGCAGGCCAGCAGATGTCGTCTACCTGCCTGTCTTCTTCACTCAAGGTACTTTCTGATTCTAACAACGAAGGCCTCAGAGTCAGTTTGCTCTGGTGCAAGTGTTTGGATCAGCCCCGGACTCAAACTCTTCTGAGGTGACCAAGAACTTGGGACGAACCTTCATGCTCACCATCATCCGCGGGGCGCCTCGTCCGGAAGCACCTGCACATTGTTGAGTCTGTAAACCTGTCTGCATCTTACAATCAGAATCAGTTCGACGGATTTTGCGAGGAAGAAGTTTGCGGAGTACGCTGCTCGTTACTCGAACAGTCCATCCGCTCGCCGCGAGTTTTGCGTTGAGGTGCCGTTCGGTGCCTTTCAGTGCTTGATCTATGAGGTGCTGAAGGCCATGGGGGCGGTAGGGCCTTCAATGCAGTGCAAGTACGTGCCCACTCAGCTCGTAATCGACACTATGCGGGTTTTGAAAGCTGCACAGTCTGTCAGGATCGAACGCCGGCTCTACTTGAGAGCATCGGGGTGTCCCGTTTGCAAACAGTGAAAGTCCATTTCCTGGCGTCATCAGAAGGCGACAGTTCAACATACCACGGGCGATGAGGGCCAGTGCAAGACCTCACAGCACAGATCTCGAGGTCCCCATCTGGTGCGAGCCCTTCATCTGGGGCGGCGTGGCTGGTTTCCTCACGGGCTACTTGACAAACCCTCCGGACGACTGCTGTGCCGTATAACTCGCGGCAAACTAGGTCTGTGAACTCTGGTGACTGGAAGCCTTGCAGCAGCAGAAAATGTTTCAGCCAGGCCCGCGGTTAGAGGCCCAGCATTGCGCTTGCTCGGCAGGACGTCGTCATGCAGCGCCTGGCCATCGACGCCAGCTCCAACAATGATGACCCGGACCTCGCTTGTTGTATCACAGAGAGGAATGTTTAGATGTTAAATCGTGCTGAAGACTCTGATCTTTCCAGCTTCCCAGGGTTGTGCCGATTGCAGGACAAACCTTTCAGCGTCCAAGAGACTTGGGAGGAAATCGTGCAGGCGACGCAGAAGGCTCGATGCAAGTCTTGAATTTTGGGATGTTGAGGCTTTCGAGCGCAGTATTCCAACATAGCTACAGCTACTGCGCGGCAAGTCGTGGTACTTTCTGGCGAGAGGATTTGCAGATGAGCTTCTCGGACATGGCTGACTGCTGCAGTAGCTTAAGCAGAGCTACATGTAGTTGGATCCAGCGTGGGCTGCCGCAGCTTTCACTCCCCTGCCAGATATTGGAAAACGAGGGGCCTGCAGGCTTCGCTAAAGGCGGGCTTGAGAAGCTTGGACTAGACGGATTTTCAGCCCTCTCCTCGTTTACAAAAGCATCTTGGCATCCAAGGAACGCCCTCTACTTCTTACCCGAGGCGATGGTCTGGTTTGGGGTCTACGAGGGCTTCAAAGGTGTGGCAAACAGAGCCTCAGCAGCAGTTGAGATGCCCTTGAGTTGAGCGGTTGGTCAACAACTTGTAACAGTCATCCCCCTAGCTTTCGCAGCCGAGGCGTCTCGCAAGCCTTTTAAAATTACAGGTTCGTGTGTGAGGACGCACGCGTCTCTGCATTATCGTTTCGTCTTATGCAGACCTCGGCAAACTGCCCTGCTGCAGAATTGTGTAAACTGTGTGTTCTGCCGCCTCTATGTCAAAACACAGACCTGGACCTGCACTTCGGTAAACTCGACTCTTCGTTGATGTGCTTTGGAACAAAGACCCTGCGTTGATCAAAGCGCGGCTGAAACACGGCTTAGCCAAGCAGTTTTACTAGTTGGGCAACGCCGTGCGGAGTGGTGCATCTGGAACAGGCTGCGGAGTCGATTGATCGGTGTCATTCGGTGTCTACGCATGTCTTCGCACGGCATTGCTGAACCTGCACAGAAACTGGAGTGAGCTTCCGTCCTCAAGTTGTCGTATCGCAACGAAGCCTACTTTCTGTGGGTCCCACCACACGTTTGAAGCGCGGAATTTTCGCTGGATCTGCCTGCCGAGAGGTCAGCCTTGAGGTGGGAGGATCTATAGGGGATTTCCTGAAGGAGACTCTCAGCAGGATGGGATCGCATTTCTCACACATTCACCTGATGCATCGACTTTAAAGGCCAGTTTGGGCAAGAGTTGCGCAAGGGGCTCATGTTTGACGGGCCGAGGAGTGCATGGACTTCAAGCAACAGTCATCGTTTTGGGTTAGCGTGGCAGCGAACTTTTGCCCTCCCGCATGCACAGCTTTACTTGCTGCTGCTACACTGCATAGCAAGATGCGAGGGCTTGCGTATGCAACTTGTGTACAGTGTAAATACGAATTCAGTCGCAGTGCAAACTCGACCAGACAGATGCGCTTCAACATTGGCAGTGGCGTATAGATGAGCTAGCTTGGCTTAGCCTCCAGCTGAACTTTCAGTTCTCATCAGTCAACTGAATTCTGGTGGGACGATGAAACGCCAACAACTTGAGGGTGCTACTGTAGATCGACACCCTAGCCGTGGAATCTGACGCGACTTGTATCGGCATGTCCAGCCGAGCAACCCCACAAGCAACCGGAACCCCGGCTGCGTTTCTTGGCAACAAGATTTTCCACAATATCGCAAAGTCTTGTTGGCTCGCGACCACGGACGGAAGATTTCCTGACGATTTTCTTTGCTTGGTGGCACCAGGCAGAAATCACGTCACTTGAACGTCACATATTCGAAGACTGGCTCTCCATGTCGGTGCCTGCCATGCATGGGAACAGAGAACACCGGGCAAATACCCTGATTGCGATTGGTGCTGCCTGGAAAAAATTTCATTCGCGTCTGAAGACTTAGAAGCGACTTGCTAGCATGGCGTGGTTGCAAACCAGCAGGAGCTTTCCGAAGATGAGGAGGCCGTCGAGGCCATAAACGGAAGTCGCCAAAGCCGCGACCCAATTCAAGAGTGCCTGCGTGGAGTTAGAGGGTTTCGCAGCATTGCAATGTGAGGGTTCAGTGGCGGTAGTCCGGTAGTGCAAAGCTCCCATCAGACCGTGTCGCTCGCGGAGTTCGCGAAGAATCCCCCTCCCCGCTCCTTGATTGCCACGCCCACCTTACTGCAATGCAGGGGTCTCTCCAAATGCTGGGCCTCCACAGGAACCTGCAACAGCACTCTCGGCAGAGTCGCAACGGCCTTACCCTGTCCGAATGGTATACAAACTTTCTTGCGGCACCGTCACGGCGATGTCCGGAAGCTCCTACCACTGGAGCAGAGTCTCCGCGAGAGGAGAGCAAGTCTTGGCCATCCCTGTTGGTCCTATGTGGTAGCTGGAGTGCATGCACCGAGTCGCTCTTGCAGCAACCACTCCCCGAGCTGCTATTTCCACCCAGTTGAAAGCATCATCCTACGTGCAGGAGCCCGCGCGAGCCGCGACCATAATAAATCGAATCAAGCCGACAGAGTCATCCAGTCACACAAGGTGATGGCATGTGTCTTTTCATGTGTGAGGCTACTTCCCACATGTTGTGGTTGGAGGTCTGTGCAGGTCTTGTGTCCAGGGTTCGCTCCTAGGGGGCTCCGTTCCATGTTCTGATGAAAGTTGGTTAAATTGCGCAAGACTTTGCAGCAGCATGGAGGTAGAAAGCCACAGGACTCTTGCAACTGTTACAGCCGCTTTGGGCTCCTTTGCGCAGAACCGTGAGGTGTACAGGTAGGTGCATAGATGGAGCCCATCGGCAGATCAGTCAGATCGCTTGCATGGGTCTCAGTGTTCTCGTGCATCGCTGTTGCTGTGGCTGACGGAAACCACACGGCGCCAGAGCAAAAAGCACGGGGCAGCTGCCAGGCCTTTGGTTGTTCTAAAGACTACAGGCCCCACCAGAGCTGTCAGTGCAACGACAAATGCGAGGGTTACGGCAACTGCTGCAACGACTTCAGGGCTTGTTCTGGCAGCTGCCAGTCTTTTGGCTGCCCTGCTGACTACCAGGCAAATCGCGTCTGCCAATGCAACTCCCAATGCGAAGCCTTTGGGAACTGCTGCGCAGACTACAAGGCCTGCAAGGCATCTCCTGCACAATCTCCAGCCCAGTCTCCACAGTCGCCAGTGGCACAACGAGGACAGGGTGCAAGTTGTCCAGGAACGATTGAATTGCGTGGACATGGCTCCATGCAGCTGTCGAATGCATACTGGAACAAGCCCTGGGACCCCGCTGGAGAAGTGAGGCTTCAAAATGGAGATGTCGAGGTCTTCATGAAGGGAAGGACTTACTTCTCCGACGTTTGCCAGCCTGGAGAATTCTCCAATGGGCACTACAGCAGCCTGCAGCTGCTTGGCAAGCGGATGCGGTGGACCACAGATGTCTCCAATGCCGAGTGTGGCTGTAATGCCGCCGTCTACCTTGCATCTCTGCCTCAGAATCATGAGGTTTCTGGCTGTGAGGACTACTACTGCGATGCAAACAGCGTCTGTGGGGTGCGATGCACTGAGATCGACCTGCAAGAAGCCAACAAGCATGCCTTTCACTCCGTGCTGCACCTTGCGCAGGATGGCTCAGGCAAGGGTTCTGGGTATGGCGGTGGATCCAACTGGAACTCACACCGGGATTGGACTCGGCAGGACTATGGGCCTGGAGGTCGCTGCATCGACACAAGCCGGCCTTTCCAGGTGGAGGTTGGCTTCCCCACGGAAAGGGGCCGCCTGCGTGCCTTGACCACGCGCCTCTCGCAGAGTGGAAAAGGCTGTGAGTTGTCAGCTGAAATCTCCGCGGATTCCTACCACTTCGGGGGAAGTTCCAGTGTGGAGGAGCTCACTCAAGCCCTTGCTCGGGGAATGACGCCCATTTTGAGCTACTGGAGTGCGGAGAACATGCTTTGGATGGATGGCAAAGGAGCCGATGGGCTCGGTCCCTGTGCCCGGGATGAGCCGCAGCGCTGCGGCGACTCTGCGAGGTTTTCAGACTTCGCCGTCGAGAGCTTATGGGAGCGACTGATTTAATTAGCTACCATCTCAATGTAGCTTGATAGTGGCAGCACGGCCACGGGTCGTGCTTTTGCCCTGCTTAGCACAACTGCTAGAGAAATAGCAGTGCAATCCCAATCTTGGCTAATTTTGACAGCCCTGTGCAGCTGAACAATTCGGTGCCTCGCAGACACTTGAAATGTGTCGTGTATGCAAAAACCTGCGTTCAATTTTAGTGTCTCCTGCTGACAGATACAGAACGTGCGCTGGCGCAGCACATGCACGTTGACTTCGTCTTGATCGACATGCCCAGGCCCGGCCAGCCAGCAACATCAACCTGGTGCTGGGGAGGCCGCTCGAATGCTGCACATCGTGCTTCTTGCTGTTGTCATCGCATGAGCTCAGGTGGCCGGCAGCTCAAAAGGCAGCCGCTTGTGGAGCGAGACTGGCACGGAAGGGCCCTTACCAGAGGCCGGTTAGGGATTTGGCTGGGGAGGAGCCCTTCAAGGCAATTATTCTGCTGCTCTGGGTTCAAAGCAAAAAATGCGACAATGCTTTGTGGCCAAGCCCTGCGCTGTCCTTCGAGCTTTGGGGTCTCGTGGCTTGCAAACTCCAGGCTCGCCACTCCAGCGCTGCCCGAGCAAAGCGTGCGCGACATGCAGAAAAGCAGGAGAGTGCTGGGCATTGCTCCTTGTCCTGTGTGTCCCCACCTCGCAAAATCCCAAAAGCCTTCAGCTAGGTTGCATCGCCAAAGAACTTCTTGTTGCAGCAGGGGGCAGCAGCAGTCACGGTCGTTCTCCTGCCAATGAAGACAGCGGCCATGGATGGCTAAAGCGTACCGGGCAAAGGCAGAAGCACGACCTGAGTGTTTGTCTTCGCAGCTGGTGTGCACTAGTTACCATCCTCCAAATCCAAACCAGGCTTTCAGTGCTTGAGGACAACTTCGTTCCACTGCTTCTATTTGGCTGATTCACAGGCTCAAAGCACTGGACAGCCAAAATCGTTTCATGTTTCCAGGTTCTGCGTTTCATATCAGACTGTCACACTCCCGGACATCCGAGTGTCACGGGCGTCGTGGTAGTGCCCTCGACTCCTTTTCAGGTCGGCGCCGAATGCTATGAGAGTTTGGGGCAAAGTACATCAAAACAGAGACACCAAAATCTTGGCCAACGTAGCCTCGAAAGGAATGCTTTCAAGAGTATGAGGCCAAACATATATCCGCAAATCGTCTCCGCAAAACCACCTCGAAAACAGTCGGAAACGTAAGGCGTTTTTGCGTGTAAGTTTGCCAATTTCCTGCCCGATAGTGGGAATGTGGTGCATAAGACTGTGCATGTTTGGACCCCAAGCTCCATCCTGGCAGATCTGGGGAATGGGCCCCATTCCCACTGTCGCGGGCGGGACTCTCGCACCTCATCGATGCAAGTGCAATGTTGATCGATGCGCAATTCTCAAATCCCATGAAGCGACCTCCGTCTCTCTCTGTGTGTGTGTGTGTTAAGTTTTAAGTTTAGATTCTTTTGGAGAGCTTCCAGGAGGCAGCGACGGCAGCAGCATCAGCAATGGCGAAGGCGGCTGAGGCCGGGCCCGGCAAGGCCTTGTGCAAGTTCTTTTAAACGACTCGGG